AMMRRATATCCCGAGGGAGTCAGAGTCACTGCAGCTCTTGTTCTTGTCTTCTCCAAGACTCGTTGCTTGGAGCCAGCGGCAGCACCAGAGMCCGGCGGGGCCGGGCTGCGGGCAGGGGCATCTCCCAGCGCAGGACGGGGCGGGAGCGGCTCCCGCAGCCCCCGCGGAGGCTCCGCAGCCCCGGCACCGGCCCCGACCCGGACCCGCTCCAGGGCCGAGCAGGAAGTCCCGCAGCGGCCACTGCCACCACCTCCCCGGGGAATCCCGGGATACGGAGCTGCCGCGCGGTACCCGCGGGGGCTGCGCGCTCCGGCCGGGACAGACACAGCGCAGCGAGCCTGGGCACGGACACACAGCCAACAAAACCCAACAAAACCCAACAAAACCCAACAGCCCTCGGCGCCAGCGATGGAAGTTCCACGGGAAGCCACACACTGCCCGTGCCCCCCGGTGCGGCGGGGTCTCAGGTGTGGGCAGCCCCGACACGGCCGGCCGGGGCACGGCGATGTGAACCGCGCGGGGGCGGGTACCGGGAGCGCCTGCCGGCCCCGCCGCGCACCCAGCACGGGCGGGCATGGCGGGGCCGCTCCGGAGAGCTCTGCCGGGGCCGCGCCGACCGAACTCCTCACCGGGACCCCTCCCCGGAACCCCTCCCGCCTCCCCGTGCGGGCCCAGCGAGCGGCGCTCACCTGCGGGGGCTGGGGCCGGGCCGCCCCGGCCGCGCTCCGCTCCACGCCCGCTCCCCCTCAGCTGCGCGGCGGCGGCGGCCTCGCTCCGCGGGCACCTCCGGGCGGGGCGGGGCGGAGCCTGGACCGGGACCGCCCCCGGGGCGGGGCTCCGCCATGCAAACCGCGTGTGGGGGCGGGGCTTTGTATGTAAATCAGGGTGAGCCGCGGCTCCGCCTCTCTTTCATCCGGCGCGCTCATGAATAATTCAGCAGCGCGCGCGCTGCAGCCAATCAGAGAGTGGCACCGAGCGGCTCGTGGAGCGCGGGCACCCGGCACCGGCAAAGGGCGGCGGAGAAAGGCGGGCCGGGAAAAGGCCGGGAAAAGCTGACCGGGAAAAGCGACCTTGGAGAGGGCGGCTGGGAAAGGGCGGCAGCGAAAGGCGAACCGGGAAAAGCTGACCGGGAAAGGCGACCTGAAAAAGGCGACCTCGGAAAGGGCGGCCGGGAGAGGCGAGCCGGGAAAGGCGACCTGGGAAAGAGCAGCACGGAAAAAGTTGAACCGGGAAAGACAGCCCGGGAATACAGCCTCCAGAGCCTCTCCTCCCYGCTTCAGCCCCTCGAGGGACTCCCAGCTTTCACAGCCTGCCTGTGAAAATACACTTTATAGAAAGTCGAGGCCGTCGCTGGAGAAAGGCACACAAGTCTTGCTGCACAGCCCGGCAGGAGCCACCCTGTGTCCTGCTGCAAATAAAAGCAGCTGGATAAGGAAGCTGTATTTATGTTGAGTGCAGTGGCAGGCCAAGGCTGCCCATTCTCTACATCCATGCAAAAGCTTGAAGTTACCTCTGACAAGGATTCAGTAACAGTCAGTATTTCACCTACATTTCCAAAAGTGATGTTTTTCAATTAAATATTCAGTTCTGTCATCCTCTTGCAACGCCCAGCCGAGCTGCACCACAGGCCAAATTGGAGCAGCGGTATCAGTCTGGATCATGTTCCTATCCTGGTAAAGGCACCATCAGATGTTACGGTGCTGAGCAAGGCAGCCACAGTTTCTCAATCYTCCCTGCACTGGTTATTAAATTGTAATTGTCTTGTGCTGAATCAGGGAGTCTCTGCCCCAGCGAAACTCACTGGGTGGCTCTCGTGGAGTTCATCGATACAATTCCACCTTGGCATAAGGAGATGAGACTGATTGAAATCACCAGGAGTGAGTTTGACCTAATTCCAGGACAAACATGAGCCCTGTGGGTCAGACTGGAGCTCTCCAGGCTGCGCCTGTTCTTAGAAACTCTCTTCCCACTGCCTTTAATCTGTAGAACAGTCTGGGAGAACGCTGAGGGCAGATGGGGCTGCCAGCCCCGGCTTTAAGAACTCTCAAAGCCAAAGCACTGCTGAAAGGAGGAAGAGGAAGGGGAGGGAGCGTGGGAGGAGCCGTCAGACCCTCACCTCAGCAGAGCCTCGCCGACTTCCAGCATCTGATAACGGGGGCGTGTGTGTGAAACATGAGCCGGCACTGGCAGCACAGCMCCGCCACCTTGGGCTACGATACCTCTGACCACGCAGGAGGAAGATGAACGAGGAAGAGTTGTCGTGTGCCGACAGGAACTGCACGCGGATGTGGGGACACCTCCAGGCTCTGAGTCACGCCGGGATCGGGGCAGCGGCTGTATGCAAACGCAGATGGCGTAGGAGCAGGGTTACCAGGGTTACACAGCCACGGGCTTGCATGACCTTGAGCAGGCATTCACCAGCTGCTGCTGCTGCTGCTGGGGTCCCAGTAGCCTCCACAGTCTCCCTCTGCATAACTTAGAATTGCTAGGGGAATTAAGAACCACACTGAGAGGCTTGCATGGTTGGAAAAGGATTTTTTTTATTGCTTAGCCTTATCCACATCTCCAAAAGGAGTTATAAAAATAYCAAATAAAACACATCTAAACCAGTTGCTATTACAGTTTTGAAAACTTTGATACCAAACACAGCCGTGCTCAGCCACTTCCACCCACTGAGCACACCTTCTGGCACCTGGCACTTYTGGCATAGAGGCTAAAGTAAATTTGGTACCTAGATATCCTGGTGGAGAGCAATGGAATACTCAGGAGCACAACAGCCTCAGGACTGGAAGGCTCATTAGGAATTTGTAGCGGTTTTTTTTTTTTTTTTTTTCTCTGAGATCTCTCACTTGCAAGAGAAATAACAAGGATCCACAGCCAGGAAAGAGGATGTTGGGCTGGCAGAGAGGGGCTGCAGTTCAGCCCTGGTGAGACTATCAGATGTACTGTGCTGATAGTGGTGGGCAAACTTGAGCATGGCTTAACACTGTGCAGCCAAAAAGCATCTCAGCACAGCTGCTGCAGGAGGCTGAGCTGCCATCTGCAATGCTCTGGGGCTTTCTGTGACCTCTGGCTGATGAAATTGTGTTCAAGGCAGAGTTTCCTRCTCTTGAGCATCTGGAAACTTTCCTCCAGGTGACTGAGTTTATAGCTGTGCCRTTTTCAGACCAGAATCTGATCTTGACAATCATTGGCACAGCTGAATGACAGAGGCTCAGGACACAGCCCTGATCAGCTTATTCTGTCCCCAAGTGACCTCAGTGACACTTCAACCATTCCACTGGTGGAGCACGGTGATTCTTTACATRTAACAAAAGGATCACCAGCACAGTGTATTCTAATGGTCCACAGTCAAAAGATGACACAGGAGAGGCAGGCTGGTGGTCTGTGAGGTGAGAAAGCTGGAGAATCAATGGCTTCAAGAACAAGGCAGTGTGTACTCCAGCCCAGAAATGCCCAGCTAAGCCAAACACACTTGTTTGCTGTAAATTACACATTATCCCTGAGCCATCTGGGTGGGTGCAGTCTGTAACAGCCAATAAAGTGGCCAACTTCCAATGGTTCCACTTATCACAGGTTCCGTTTTCTGTAATATTTCATWAATCAGGAAAGCAAGTCCTGAGTAAAGCTGTTTCCTTCATCCCATCCCATTTCTGCAAGTGACAGCARCTTCAGTGATTAACATCAACAGGCAGCTTGAACTCCTTCAGTGAATAGAAGGTGATTTCTCCATGGTCCACCAGTGCAAAGACGAGCGGGACGTCCCCACTCAGATACGTCACCTGCTTCAGAGCCCGCAGGGATGGGATCTGCTCATCAAAGCTACAGAGAGAAAAAAACATCCTGTTTGTTCTTCAGGCAAGAGGAACACAGAGGCAAAGCTGTCCTGGCCAGCCATCACAACAGCTCCCTTTAGCCTGAGGAGCTGGTACTGATCCTGCCCACCCTTCTCAGTCAAAGCAGCCAGCCCAGAGAGTGAGAACACAACATGTCAGGAATGGCAGCTGTTGAATCCTTTGCCARAAACAAGGATAACTGCACACTGCTCTGTGCTGTGCCCATTAGATGGGGTTCACAGGAATATTGGCAAATGGCCAATCCACTGCAATCTTAATACCTTTGTGCTGGGAAGAYCTTTGGGTTGCTGGGATTAACATCTGACCTGTTTTTCCCTCCTTTTAATTCTGCAGTCTACTTGCTCATCAATGAAAATACTTCTGCAATAAGGATCATCCTACTGACATTACATCCTACATCATGACATACCTTGGTAAAACTGCATTACCACCTTCCTTGCTCTGTCTACTAGAGCTGCAGAGAGCACAGGGACAGGTTTAGTATAGCAAAATGAGACAAGGCAGAAACTGAACTTTGTAGCTAGCTATGGAGTTTAGGTATCAGGTGGATCCAGCAAGAAAGGAGACACCTACCCTGTTCCTACTGATCTTAACATTACATTTGACAAGGATCAAAATACTGAAGTCATGGCACAGAGCCTGCAGCAAACTCTGGGGAGGTTCATCTCTGCAGAAATCCATAGTGATCTGCACTGACTGAGGATTCAGGTTACATACAGCTCCCTCAACACTGGCTTCTACCTGAATTCYATAGGCATTGAAATTGCATGACAGCTGTGATTTCTTTCTCCTGACTCTTAGGAATACTCAGACATGAGCAGCAACCAGATGACCAAAGAGTGTGGGCTAAGTGCAAGGGCTGGGGGAGTTGTCAGCCACAGCCTACAACAAAGGAAGAGGAACTGAAAGAAAAAAAATCTGGGCAGAACCACCCTCAAGGGAGACAATCTGATGATCACAAGATGCTGGGTCATTTACAGATCATTAGGACTTCATTTCCACAACAGCAACTGCAATGTTTCAGAAAACAGCAAGATTCATGGGTACCTCCTAACACACATTCTGACATGGGGCCTCCCAGGGTTTGTCTTCTTAAATCTGGACACAGCATCTGCTTGATACACGTTGAAGTCWATCTTCATGGCCTCTGGGTCCTCCTGCAGCCTGCAGAACAACCCACACATGTATGGGATCAAAAYACTGCAGGGTACAGCAGAGCAAAGAGGGAGCACTGACTACTTTGGGTCCCTTGGAAGGCTTCACTTCTCCAAGGACTGACACTGCAACTGTTTTTATTACTTCCCAAAGTTTCCTGTAGTCAGAGCAGAGCAAGATCCTGGTTAATATTGCAAAGCACTAACAAAGACAGGAGCAAAGCACTACAGGGACTGCACACAAGCATCACACAGACTCTGAGACAGGAATCAGAACCAAAAACCCCAAAGCCAAGGTTTTATAACCACTGCAGCAKGGATGGCAGCACATTCCAGGGATGAGGCACAGGTTTGATTAATTGCAATCAAATCTCTGGAGGAGATACCTGGCTGCGGTGCAGAGAGGGAAGGGCAGGATAAAAGAGCAACCCTGATGTTTTACTTGGCCTGGAAAGCCCTGGCTCTGTTGCTGCAGGATCTGGTACTTCATGGAAATGTCACCCCCTCACTAGAGATGCAAGAGGGTCACAGTGCAGGGTATGGGATTCTCTCAGCACCCTGGGTGTGAGGCAGCTCCCAAACTGCTGCTGTGAGCACCTCAAAGACCTCACAAGCAGGGACAGTCACAAGACACTCCCGCTCCCCAAGAGCTCCAAGCTGACTGGCTGAATACTAACCGGGAGGCTCCATCCAGGATGTGGGAGGGCTGCAGCACACTGATCTGCTGGAGGAGCGCAGCTGGAGGGAGAAGGAACGGGAAAGGATCAGACCAGCAATTTCCCTCCCAGGGCACTCCAAGCACTCCACACCACCCACGAGCCTTCCTCCTCCGACAATGGCTGGCAGCTCCACAGTCACCACTGGCTACTTCAAAGACCTCAATTTCCWCATCTCCTCCCAGCACACAGCCCAGAACACCCTGCAGTTGCTTTGCATCTTGCTGGCCCCGATTGCACATGCCTAACAGCCCAGCAGGAAGGACTGCAATACAGCAGGACATGGGGAATGGATTAGAAGACCTCCCAAGGCCCTGTTTATCCTGGCACTTGAGTGGGCTATAGAAAGATTTTCCTGCTCAAAGTACTATCCCCAAAACAAATGTTCAGCTTCTCCATATCATCCCTTTTGCTGCTGCATGCCAGGCACTGCTTCCCAGAGCTGGAGTAGGGGGGAGAATGGGCCCTGCCATGTTCCCAGAGCCACTACCTGGCGAGGTCACTTCTTCTGGCCGCAGCAGTGGTGTGACAGCTTGGTCCCAGAGGTGTGAYGGCCGTTTCCAAACCCTCTSCTGTCTCCTCTGCTCCAAGAGGGCTTTGTACTCCTGCCAGTTGGAGCAGCGCCTCACCTCCTGGTCAGCATTGACACTGCTCTTGTACCTGCTCTCCCTCTCCCGCTGCTTCCTCTCCTTCCGTGACAGCTTCTCCTGTTTCTGGTTGATCCGTGTGCACCAGGAAGCTGCATCCACCTCCCTGGCCRGCACGTTCTCTGGCAGGAGCCAGTTGTCAGGGGAGGGCAGGTGTGTGCAAGGCTGGTCTGAGGCCACGTTGGGAAAAGTGATGCTGGTAAAATCCCAGCGGGGTGCRTGGGTGCCAGTGCTGCTCTCCTTGYGGTCTCCAGCCAGGCTGCTSGAGAAGCTCAGAGAGTCCTTTTGTCCTGTATCAAGAGGAACTGGCATTGACTCTCCCTCTGCATTGCCAGCATCTGATTCCTTTGGCTGCACTGACAAGGGCTTTTCATCCATGAGAATAGAGTCTCCACAATCATCTCCATCCTTGCTGGAGGTCCCTTCAGCTTCTGGAAGGTCCTCAGAAATTTTATGTTTCTTTTCATGCAAYCTAAAGATAAAAGAACAGTAAATAATTCAGGGAGAGCATTTGGTAGAACTTTCTCTCCTTTAAATCCTGCCTGCTCCCTGCTTACAGGAAGAATGCTGTCTGCCAAGCCTGAACGAAGGACAGCAAAGGTGGCAGGAATTTCCAGACAGAACTGCAAACCCTTAACAACAACCTCCTGGTTTGTGAGACAAATGAGAAAGTAAAAAATGCTGCCAAAACTAAGCAGTGAATGCCAAAGGCAGAATAAACCTCTCAGAAGTCCTGCAAGAGATTCGACTTCAAYGCCCAAGAGAATCCCAGCCTTGATTTGTATAGACAATGTTCCCATCCTACCAGCCAGGTCCACACCCCAGACACTGACCCAAACACCTCCATGCAAACATGCTGGACTTCAGCCAAAGCAGCACAGGCCAGGCAGAAACCTGCCTGCCAGCACCTCTTCTGGTGTGAGATTCACACCCTGATTCCAGAGAAGATGGGGCAATTCTTAGACCACCAGTTTAATCTCCTAATTCCTACAATTTCTCAACTCAAGCATTGATTTACTGTTAACAGGGACTCTGCAGCTTCATCCTCCCCGTTYCTGAAAGGCTGACGCCACCTCCTGGGAACTGCCAGAATTATGAGCAAAATTACTCATTGCCAGTCTGAGGTGATGTTTTGGATACGTGCAAGCTCCAGGACCCAACTGTGCTTTCTGCTGTTGAGTTTGGGAGGTAAATTGGATTGAGGAGGTGAGCAAGTGTAAGATGTGCACTGTGGTAACTGTGCTCCTGTTAAAAAAGAGCAGGAAGAGATACCTGATGTGTTTCCTTTGCACTGACCTGTCTACACTTCTCTTTTGGCATCTCAGCACCACAGCTGGGGGACTTGGCAATTTGCCCCTCTTAAGCCTGGCATGAAGCACACATGTGACAAAAGGGAACACTGCAAAGCRTTCAGGAAAAGCAGTGCACTGCCTGGGGACAGCCAAGAGCAACTGTGCCAGACAAGGTCACCCACAGCAGGGAGGCCTGGGGACACTGCAGCAAAGCAGCTGCTCCTGAGCCAGCATGGCCTGGAAGAGGATGGGAGAAGGCTTTGGGCCACATCCTTACCGGGGGCTGGAACTCCTCCTCCTCTTGCGATGGTGTTTCYCAGAGCTCTTGCAGTGACTTTCCAAGTTCAGCTGCCTCTCATAGGCAGATGGGACAGTGCTGGAAGGAGAGACCAACGCAGAGGCTGAGAGCAGGGTGAGGCAGTGGAGCTACCTTCTGCYCAGCCCCCAGGACACGGCAACCAAAGGCACAGAAAAAACCCAAGCAGGACCAGGATGGCCCTCTATCCATGCTCCATCTCATGTTCCCAATCACCTCCTCAGGAGGGAGGAGCAAGGAAGGACAGAGTGCCACTTTTAGCCTTTAATCCTCCCAAGAGGCAGAATGCAGGGCCAAAGTCCTCTGCCATCCCCTGGGGCCAGGCAGTGGGCACAGCCAGTCTCAGGATCTTCAGGAAGCAGAAAGCAGCACAGGAAAGAAAAGTTGGTTACCTGGGGTCGAATCTCAGTACAATATAACCCAGCTGCTTCAAGTGGCTGAACACCTTAGAGCAAAGGAAAGCAAGASGGTTAAATGACGGCCCTAAACACAAACAATTTACTTCAGTTCCATTATAATTGAGTGAGCACAGTGTGGCACTGGCAGAGGAGAAAATGCCAGGCTTAGGACCCAAAGCAAAGGTGGGGAAACAGGAATTGAACATCTGAAAGAAGGTGAGTGGGAACAACTGAGGATGACTTCCCTCCCATTCCATCCGAGATCATCCTAGCCTGCTTCCAGCCACTGGAAGAGCTTCTGTGGCAGATGCTGGGCTTTCTGCCTTCATYCTCCTGCTACAGCTGGAGGTCCCAACACACCTGGTAATGTGACAGAGTCATTGCCTCCTGGCACAGCAGGGTCTCGTAGGCTTCCTGGACTGACAGGGGCAGATCCCTRTGAAAGAGCTGGACAGAGCCCTGCAGGGCAAGAGCTTTGTGTGAGAATCACAGGAACAAATCTATGCAAGCTCACTCCAGTCCTTTCCCACTGGTCCTGACAGCTGGTCCCAGCACCTTCTCTGACATGATATCCATCTCTCCCCATGTGCCATCTGGACAGACAGTCCCTTTCCCATACCCAGGTTTTATCAGCCAGGTGAGAAGTTCCCACCCACAGCTCTCAGCTCCTGCATCCTCCATTAGGAGGATGCAGCTGGGAGCAAAATGCTCACCTGATAAAATAATCATTGCTTTGAGTGATAATTTAACTTTGATGATCTCAGTGAGTCAGGACACAGCACAACTACAAAACCACTTATGACGAGCACAACTGCGAACTGGGGCAGAGGAGTCAATAGCATCAACTGGTACCTCCCCAGGTGCATTTACATTCTTTACAGACCCAGAGATCCCACTTGGATACCCACTAGGTAACTTGTTCAGGGAATAGCAAATTAMATCCAGGAGGCAGTTTCAAGTGACACCTCTTTTCCTCCTTTTTGTTTTTTTAGATGGTGTTTAATCATGAACAAAGAAAACAAAACACTATGAACCACACCTTTCCCGTGGGATGGGCTGAAGGCATCTCACTGGTCTTTTCTGCTTTTGGGAGGATTTTGTACTCAGCATCTGACTAAACTATTTTATTGCCATCAGTTTGTTTACAAACTATTTGTCAGAATCCCAGAGGTAAAAAAGCCCCACCTTTGCTGTCAGGATTTAAGGGATGGCATCAGACACTCAATCTGTTTGCTTTGCTAAGGCAAATCTGTTTTGCTTTGCCTTTACTTCAATGCACCAGTTCTACTGATAACAGGCTTTGGTGGAGAGACAAAAAAAACCCTCTCTTCAGCAAAACAATCCAGCTGAGCCCTAAGCAGCATTTCTGCAAGCAGAGAAGCATTGAATACAACGGGGTCTCACTATTATGTCTGCCACATTTAAATTTCTTTCTGCCATAAATTTCTTCTTGGGAAGAAATTCCAAGCAGCAACCCCAAAGATCTCTGCTTAAAGTTAAGACCATGAATGAACTGGCCACTGGGCCAACTAACACATTCTGTCAGTGACACAGAGGCTGCTAGGGGGTAAGAACCCACAGCCTGAAGACAAACAGCTCCATCAGCAACACGCTAAAAGAGGCAATTCCTTGAGAACCAGGTGTTTACCAGCTGCTACAGCTCCCCCAGTCATTCAGCAAACTCCCAATGCCCCCATCCTACTTACACACTCCAGCAGGTACAGAGCTTCCTCGGGCAGCAGACACTGTTTGCCTCGCTGTGAGAACCCCATGGTGTGCCAGAACTTCCCCTGGAACAGGAGCACAAATCCCTAATGGGCTCTGGCTGTTGCCTGCTGACAACCAGGCTCCTTCCCATTGCAAGGAGCAAATTAAGGAACCTATGAGGCAGCAGGAGATGATGGCACTGACAACACTCTGTAGCACTCACCGCAGGGGACTTCAGCTCCACAATGCCCTGTTCTGGCTTCCACTCAGCTTTCACCAGATTCCCCCTGAGACAGTAAAAGATTAGTTTGTTACTACTACTGTGTCCTACAGTCAGCTCCTGGTGTAGAAGTACAAACAGCTCAAAAAGACGTCAAAAGRCAGGAAATTCCCAGGTGGCATTTTCACAAGGCATCAGAAAGACATCATTCTCTGGATTTAGCAGCACCAGTTTATCATCACCAACCAGTTAAAAGAGAATTCAGTCAGCAGCACAGATRCATGTCCATAGGCTACAGCAGGCTGCTGGAGATGCATGGCCTAAGCCAGGATATTGGTTATTGAATAACTAACATAGGCTGCCCAGAGAAGCTGTGTCTGCCCCATTCCCAAAAGGGTTCGCGGCCAGGTTGGATGGGGCTCTGAGCAACCTGGTCAAACAAAAGGTGTCCTTGCCCATGGCAGGGGAATGGGGTGATTTTTAAGGTCCCTTCCAACTCTAACCATTCTGTGATTCTGTGTCATACAATTATTCAGCTGCTGCCAAGACACCCTCAAATCACTGTACCCACCCACGGGGACACGGAGGGAAAAGTCAATAGCTGCAGGCCAAGTGTTGAGAGGCAGGCGTGAACATCTCCCAGGTGATAAGCTCCAAAGTCTGGCAGCACTGTTGAAAGCACCAAAACTGATAAACCAGGGACACTGAGACCTGGTTAAATCGACACTAGGCTGCACAGGAACATCAAGAAGATGCTCTGTTATCAGACCATGCCCAAGAAGGCAGTGGCTGCTGCCTGGAAAGGCTACAGGATTATATACACACCGTGAAAACCAAGAGCCCTGTGAGGGGACTTTCTGAAGCCACAGGTGTGCCAGCATGTCCCTGTGTTCCTGCTGGGACAGCCARGCTGTGTCGCACCGCTGCTGCTCCAACCCGGGCATTGAGTGCAGGTGAAGTGCGGGGCACTCACTGTGCTACCAACACCTCCCGCTACCAACAGCTCGATCCTATCGTGACCCCCGGGCTGTGCTCYACCCGCCGGCATCACCCCTTCCAGAGGGAAAGCCATTCCCAGCGCTGTTCCCGGGGATGCACTTACGGCCGCTCCGGGCGCTCCTCGGACAGCAGCCGCCACTGCTCCTCGCAGCAGCGCCGCAGCCTCTCGGCCTGCCGGGCCGAGCCGTCGGGGACGAAATCCTTCTGCCCGAGGGGGCTCCGCGGGGCCTGGCGACCCTCCGGCTGCTCCGCCGTGCTGCGGGGTGACAGCGGGGCGGTGAGGGACGGCAGAGCGGCCGGCAGTTCTCTGCGGCTGCCCAAACCCGGCACCGGGACCCCGGGCAAACCCCGGTGCACGCCCGGACTGCGGTGCCCACTCGGCCCTCCCGTACCGCGGATCCCGCTGGCGTCTTCCCGGATCTCCTGAACTCCGGTGACCCCCCCAAACTTGTTCCTGAGGTTCCTTCCCGGTACCGCCGTACTACGGTGTCTCCTCGGACCCCCGTACCACTGCACCTTCCGGGCCCCCTCACCGCGGCTCCCCCTGATGCCTCCCCGGCCCGCTGTACCGCGCGTCCCCGCGCTGCCTCCTCGCTGCCGGTACCGCGGGTTGTGCCCGGTCCCTCCCAGCCCCCTCACGGCGGGTCCCCGCGCCGCCTCCTCGCTGCCGGTGCCGCGGGTTGTGCCCGATCCCTCCCAGCCCCCTCACGGCGGGTCCCCGCGCTGCCTCCTCGTTGCCGGTGCCGCGGGTTGTGCCCGGTCCCTCCCAGCCCCCCTCACGGCGGGTCCCCGCGCTGCCTCC